CTGGCAGTCAGACATCCCCTGAGGGGTCCTGGATTGGAGAGGGTGCAGGCTGGACTGAGGGGATCCCCTCCCGTGCACTAATTTTGTGCACCAGGCCTCTAGTATACTATATTATAATTCAGGCTATTCGTGAAATGCTGTCCCTGCCTTTATCAGTGTGAAGGAACCAGTGACTGTATCTGTGAATCAGACAATTGGAACAAAGGAGGGAAAAGGAGAAGGCACCAGTTTGCTTAAAGGTTTTAGAAAGTTCTTCGCAAGTTTAAAAAGCATGTCATTGCAGACCGAGAGATATAATTTATTTATTTATTTATATTTTTTAAATATATTTTTATTGATGTTAGAGGGGGAGAGGGAGAGAGAAATTGAAACATCAATGATGAGAGAGAAGCATGTGCCCTTGACCAGAATCGAACCCGGGACCCTTCAGTCTGCAGGCCGACGCTCTTTCCACCTAGCCAAACCAGCTAGGGCTAGAATTTATTTAAAATTTCAAAGAATTGCATATATTAAACATTGTGTCTGTAATTCTGAAGTAGCCAGTGAATAAAAATAGAAAAATCAAAACATTCCAAAAAATTTCCTGATTTATCATCATTTTCTCTGGCTCAGGGCCCCCCTAAGCAGTTTAGTGAGATGAAGAGAATTACACAGTTAGACTTTACTTTCTGGTCTCCGTCATCAACCTTAGTAAGAGGAATGTGCGTGCTGATTGACATGAACCATGGAAATGGGCCGGTTGGATTTGGGGGACTTTCGCTCTCAGATACCTGTAGGTAGGTGAATGATACTGTTTACATCATTTAGAAAAAAAAATGAAAAAGTGTGCAGAATGAGTTTTATTCTTAAGCAATCTGGTGATGAACTGTGCTTTGAGTTAGGTGAATGTCGCTTAATATGAAAAATATCTCCTGTCTTCTATAAATATATCTGATATCCCATTTGGAAAAACAAAAAACAAAAAAACAACCCTTAATTTCTAGCTCCAGAAAGAAAGGAATCTCTATATATAAAAGCCTAAGCGACAGAATGACCGAACGACCGGTCGACCAGTGGCTATGATGCGCACTGACCACCAGGGGGCAGACACTCAATGCAGGAGCTGCCCCCTGGTGGTCAGTGTGCTCCCACAGCCAAACCCCCGGGCTGGCCAACCTCCCGCGGTCCCTCTCCCCAAGGGACCCCACCCATCCATGAATTCGTGCACTGGGCCTCTAGTTAGAATATAAACTGGAAGAACCAGTGAACCAACCAACGCAGTGTCGGCTCTCGGCCCACAATCCCCCTGGTCTGCGGGCATCCGGGCGCTGCCGGCACCCGCTCCCCCAGTGGCCAGGCTGAGAACTGGGGTCTCTTGGCAGACAAAGGAAAGTTGGCGATTTCTGTTCATCGTGCCCAAGCGAAACCTTACATTTCTTTCCTTTTTTTTTTGCGGGGGGGGGGGGGGGGGGGGGGGGGTGTTGTGGGGGGGGGGGGGGGGGGCGGGGGGGGAGAAAGATCAAGAGCCCCTAGCTGCCGTGGGAACATCAGGAAGGAGCATCTGGGTGAATTCTGAAATAAAACAGGTAGGAATCCTTGATTCTCCCTTAGATCTGACTTGAATCGCCCGCTTAAAAAAAAGCACAAATAATCAAAAACAAAGGTCTTCCGTGTCCTCTGAAGACACTGAATCCTGTGGAGCAGTTTCTCAGGTTACAGGGAAAGATCTATTATTTCAGCCCCAGGAAGCCTGGGGGCAGGAGGACGGGCAGGCGGTCCCAGCGGAGCCGTGTGACGTGCGTCCCGCTGAAACGTCACCTTCATGTGTCACTGAGCGATGACAGGCTGCCACGTACCTTCAGTCACAAAACAGGACCAAATCCCAGGGCCGGAGCCCGCCCTCTGCACGGAGAGGCACCTGCCACGGCCACGGGAAGGGCCCCTTCCCAGACGTCCCGTGTGGGTGAGGCGGGAGAGCAGAGCGCTGAGGTTAGAGAAGCTGACGGGAAAGAGGTAAGTTGCAGCTCACAGATATATTTAAATAGGCGGGAAAGACGTACCCTCGTGCACAGCGCCGGCACGGCACACAGCAAGCCGCGCTTCCACGGCCAACGTGCGTGGCTGCGAAGGCGCGAGGGCCCCCTGGACCCGTAAACATCCCTCCCCTTATCCGTGTGTCCTGTTCCCCGTGGTAGCGGCTGAGTCCATAGACCCACCACCCCTGTCCGGGCAGGCTGCCTGGGCTGACAGCATGGACGGCTTGCATCACATGGAGACGCTCCCACAAACCCGCTGAGAGCTCAGAGTCTGCAGTCTCGTCGCGTTTCCTGAATCTGGGACGGGCGCTGCGGACCCACCCCGCCCGGGGATGCGGTGCGCCGGGTCAGGGTCAGCTGGTCCTGCCAGTGAGGGCGCTGCAGCCGGTCCCTCCTCAGAGGACAGATGGACACGGAGGCTCCAGCTTCAGGCGGTCAGCGAGCTGCGGGCGCTGATGGAGGAGGGACAGGGACAGGCCTGCGGGCTCACACACCCAGTGACGGCAGCTCAGAGCGGGGGAGGGGCCACCCGGCCTCTCTCACAACAAAGCACGGAGGGAAGTGGAGCCCTCCACTCAGCCCTGGCTCACACCAGCCTCGGTCCTGTCTCCTGCCCAGGACTCTAACTTGTCCCTCGCCCACGGTCAGGGCTCCGGGTCACCGAGTCCCTGAAGCCAGAGGCGTGGGCTGTGCTGGGATCCCCGCCTGGAAACTCCCCGCAGCTCCCGTGACTCCGCTGCCGCAGATATAGGTTTCACGTGTGGAAAGGACAGGAGGGGCTTGGCCACTGTCCCTCCCCGGGGCACGTGTGCGCTGACCTGCCAGCACAGGGAGGGGACTGGGTTCCATCGTCTCCGTGGAGAGACACATGTTTAAACAGCCTTTCCGTAGCTCCTGGAAGCTTTGGGAAGGTGCCCGGCCCGGTGCCCGCGGGCGCTACCTGGCCTTCCGCAGCTCTTGGCGCAGCCAGGCCGGCAGGGGCTGCCCGAGCCGGTGCAGCAGCCGGGACAGCTCCACGTTGTGGTCCCGGTAGTAGCCGGACAGGAAGGCTCTGGCCTGCGAGGCAGAGGGAGAGAGGAGCTGAGCGTGTCCCGTGTCCTGAGAAGAGACCGCACGGCCTGCTCCTCGAGGGGCTTGTGACAACACAGGCAGCGGCAAAGATGCGTCTCTGTGCGTCTGCTCAGATGTCACTCATTTTTACCTTTTGAAACTGTTTGGGGCAGAACAGAATATGGGGGACCCGCTGCAGCGATCAGAACTGTGGGTCCTGCTCCGTCACCGTGACGGCTCTGCTCTGGGTAGAAGCACCGCCTCGCCTGGCTGGGAGTCGCCGCCTGGGCCCGGGGAGCCCCCCTGGGAACGCTCCGGAACCGCCCCTCACGATGGAGGGACTCACCACGTCGTGGCCGAGACGACCTCGTCCCGGAGGCACCTGCTCTTCCCACCCCAGCCCCTCCTGCCTGTGATCTGGTTCCAGGCGCCCGGAGGCCCCCCCCCCCCCCAGCCCGCATGACCTGTAACCTGTACGATTATCCCTGTCCGCTTCCCATGCCTGTAACTCCTTCTCCCCATAGAAGCAGCTTCGTGTGGGGGGCAGAGCAGATGTCTGTGGGCGACCTGCTGCTCCCCCTGCTGCCGGCAGGACTGGGTTAAACGCTCACAGAGGACCCAGCCCCATCTCTGCTGAGTTGGCTCACATAGTGACAGGCGCCCGGACCCCTTGGTCGTCCGGTTACAGAAACATCTGGCAGACACGTAGCTGAAAATGAGACCCGGTCCAGGTGTGTCGGCTGCGGCTCATTCACCACGTGCCCCGTTGAGGGCGGATGGGTGACGTCCACGGGGAGAGACGGAGGGGGGTCCTCTGATGCTACAGAGGAGCCAGGGCGGGGGCAGATCTGGTACCAACTCTACAGACCTCGCTGGACAAACTCAGATTCTTCCACTGAATGTGGCCACCTTCTGTCACTTTGGGCCGTGGCATAAAAACAAAACATCCTACAAATGGAAATTCACGTTTAAAGAAATAACTTGTAATGCTGCAGAAACATTTCCTATCTTTTTTTGGGGACCAAAATAGGTTTTCAAAAAATCATCAAGAACTTTCTACTTCAAAACGGTCTCGTTGGAGACCATCCTGGGCCGCGTCTCTGGGTCCCTGTTCCTCGCCGGCCGCAGGGCTCGGGCCTTCGCAGATGGAGGGCTACACGCCAGGGTTACCCGACGGGCCATGGCCCTAGCTTATGCTTTCTTTTCTTTCTGGAAAACAGCGAGTTCACCCTGGGGTTCCTGTCTGGGTGACCCCTGCCTCACCCTATCGCCCAGGGAGCTCTGCATCCCTGATGGAAGGTAGGGAGGACCGGTCCCTGCCTAAACTCAGACACCAACAGCCGTGTTTTCCGTCTGGTCAAAGCCACACCCTCCCTCGTCAGCCCGTCCAGTAATTTACCACGAATGAACCCCTTTCTTCCTACAAACTCCCCGCGCGCCTCCTGCCTCCTGGGAGAGGGGACTCGAACGGCCACACCCTTCACGAACACCCACCCGGTGTTCCGTTACGTGTCCTCCCGGGACCCCGACGCACACCCTTCACGTCCCGATCAGCTGCTTGTAGACGCGGTGGGAACGTTACGCCCACCGATGTCCTGCAGGTTAAAGTGATTTCGGAAGCCCACTGACATTCTCAAGTCCAAGGTTCTAGTTTGAGGACCTCCTGGTCCCTCTGTTTCCATAGTAACGCCCGCATCACTCCATCCCTCCCTTGCTCGCCTTGCCCAAGAGGGATGCTCGTGATCTGTGCTCCGGAGGCTCGCTGCTTCCCAATCCCGAGCCTCCTCCGAGCAGCCCTCCGACCACAGAACCCCCTGCCTCGTAGAGGGTCCCGCTCCCCGGATCTTATCAGACCAGGGGCCATAGCTAGCTCTCCCGCCCCCCCCCCCCCCCCCCCCCCCCCGGCAATCTAGGCCCATGACTGTCTTATCCTAGCTGACATCCTGGCAGAAGAAACAGACACTTGGTCTGTGTTGCGTCTCCGACACAGCACTCCTAAAACGGAACATCCCTGGTGAGAGAGAGCGACCACGTCATCTCTGTCAGGTGAAGAGGTGGCGTTTCAACCTCACCCAGATGGGGCTGGCTGCTGGGAGAACCCCGCGGGCATAGGAGGTAGGAGCTCGAGCCCCACCCCTGACCCCTGGGAGGAGAGAGGGGTGGGGGTGGCATGATCCCCAAGGCCAGGGAGTGCCTCAGTCCTGCTGTAAGGGAGCCGTCACCCCCACACCCGATCAGAGGGACCACGATCTCCGGGTGGTGAAGCAGAGATATTGGGGAGAGGGGGACCCCGAGACATGGATGCCCTGCCCCTCCCCACGCGGCCCTGTGCTCCTCTCCCATCCAGCCGTTCCTGGGTGAGTCCCGTGTTTATCTGAGTTCTGGGAGCCGCTCCCATGAGTTAATGAAACCCAGGGAGGGGCGTGGGGCCCTGTGACTTCCAGCCGGTGGGTCACGGGGCACAGGTGAGCCTGGGGGCTGGGAGGCCTCCGAGGGGGCGGGGAGGGCGGCCTTGCAGGCCTGAGCCCCGACCTTTGGCTCTGACGCTGCTGCGGTGGACGGTGGAGTGAGCCGGACTGTAGGACCCCCGGCCGGGGCCCAGCACTGCCTGTCGGCGGGAAGAAGCCCCCCGTCATGGTGCAGGGGCCTCCACGGCTTACTCAGCCCGTGCACAGAGCAGGCGCTGGGCGTGCACTTACTATGTAAGCGCGCTGCTCACACACGTCATCCAGCCACGTGTCTGCTAACCCGTGTGGGCACCTCACACGCCTGGAGCGGGCTGCTGTCCAGTGAGCGTTCCCGCCCTCACTCCGGTGACGGTGTGCGCGTGGCTGCACCCCACGATCCTGAAACCAGGGAAACCCACCTGGGGGTCCATGGGCGGGTACTTCCGGCCTTTGCTTTTCCCCAGGCATTTGGTCTTCCCTCCTTCCAGCAGTTGGCACCAAAAGCCCTTCTGGGGGTCAAACCTACAAGAGACCACACGTGGACGCGGTCAGAGAGATGATCACAAACGACGCGGAATCCGGTGGGGAGGCCTCCCTCGGGGACGGAGCGCCCTTGGAGCCCCGTGCGCCCAGGTGTGTAATTCACACCTACACGCAGTTGTTCAATTGGCCTGAGAGTCTAAGCGAAATCAAATAAACGCGATCTTATTACAGGGGAACCTCGTTCCGCTTCTGGACCCTAATGCGTTCGGAAGGCTGATCGAGAAGCCATTGGTTCCAGCACGGAATCATTTTCCCCCTAGAAAGACTGTAAATGGAACGAATCCGTCCCAGACCCCCACCTGATCCCGTGTTAACCGTCCTCACACACAGTGCTTGTCTGATGGTCTGTTTACTGTATAAATAAACACTTCTTTTCTTTTTTTAAAAAAAATATATTTTATTGATTTTTTACAGAGAGGAAGGAAGAGGGATAGAGAGTTAGAAACATCGATCAGCTGCCTCTTGCACACCCCCTACTGGGGATGCGCCCGCAACCAAGATACATGCCCTTGACAGGAATCGAACCCGGGACCCTTCAGTCCACAGGCCGACGCTCTATCCACTGAGCCAAACCATTCAGGGCAACACTTCTTTTCTTAAACTTCTCGAACCACGCCTTCTGGCCTTACAGGGATTTTTCCTGAATCACTGCCCCGAAATTCAGTCACTGCCTAACTGCTCCTCTTTGGTCCAAACCAACACCAGCTTTGCCACCTTTTCCAGTGCCTGTGATGGCTGTTGTGTGAGCACGTTCACACCTTTACAACATCACACGCCCCACGGCCTCTCCATGTTTTAAAACTGTGCTGATCGCCAGCAACAAAAGCATTCTCTCCTGTGCTAGCCGGGGCCGGACGCGTCTTGTCTGCTGAGGTATCAGCCTGGAAGGGTTATCAGGTCAAACACAGAAGATGTGGCTGACAACCGAGACATTTTTTTCTGTGAACAACTTGGTCGAGAACCGAATCGTTCGAGATGGGAGACGTTCGAGAAGCGAGGTTGAACTGTCTCTGTTTTAGCATCTTTGTTCTGTCGTGGAAAGACACACCTTTAGTTTGAGCTTACATTGAAGTTACTAAGTTTGATGTTTTCCTTGTTCACCCATAAAGATCAAGGCCTAGTCATCAAGATGACAGCCCATGATGAAGGACCTTCAACATATGAATCCTCACCCTGATTCTCCGCCCAAGTGAGTCAATGTCTCTGAAATCCTTCCATGGTCTACAGCAGGGGTCCTCAAACTTTTTAAACAGGGGCCAGTTCACTGTCCCTCAGACCATTGGAGGGCCCGACTAGAGTTTAAAAAAAAACAACTATGAACAAATTCCTATGCACACTGCACATATCTTATTTTGAAGTAAAAAAAACAAAATGGGAACAAATACAATATTTGTATTTGCATGTGGCCCGCGGGCCGTAGTTTGAGGACCCCTGGTCTACAGGGCGGGCAAATGTAGGGTGACAGCAGTGAGTACTGCAAACACAGAGTTTATTCTTGTATTCTTACGTATTAATTACTGTATTCTTTCCCTTACAAACAACTGTTAACCGACTTTTGCCCCACCCTGTATATACAATGACTTAATGTAATAAAAATAAAATTCCGTGAATACAATCATGAATGAAACACTTTAATTTGGAAAAATACTGTATGTTTTTACAGTTCAAAAGGTTCATACCTTTCAAGGAGAGAATTAAAAGTGTAAAACACGCCTGGCCAGTGTGGCCCAGTGGTTGAGCATCGACCTATGAACCAGGAGATCACGGTTCGATTCCAGGTCAAGGGCACATGCCTGGGTTGGGGGCTCCATCTCCAGTGTGGGGCGTGCAGCAGGCAGCCGATTCATGATTCTCTCTCATCATTGATGTTTCTCTCTCTCTCTCTCCCTCTCCCTTCCTCTCTGAAATCAATAAAAAATACATTAAAAAAGGGTAAAATACAATGTTTTATATTTGGGGACAGTGAGCCGGACGAGGGCGGTTGGAGGACCTCACTTCTGTTGAAGCCGGTGACCCCAGCAGGCGGCTCAGGGCCCTGGGTCCCAGGTTTCTAACTCGCGCTCCCAGGGCTGCAGGAAGATACAGGAGAAACGAGGTGTGGCCTCATTGACTTGTTTGAGCTCCACGTGGAAGCAACTGAAAAGCAGAATTTCTGCTTAGGACTAACAAGGCAGGAACAATGAAGCCTGAGCCGGACGAGGAGAGGCGTGCTCACGGCACCGCCTGGGACCCGCGGCACGCAGAACTCGGGAGGCGCGTGGTCCTGCCGCTCGGCAGAGGTTCCGAGGACGGAGCGAAATGGCCGGGGACGCAAAGTTCATTAGCGGCGGCAACTGTCGCTGCCCTGGGCCTTTGCCAGACACCGCGTCCTGCTGCTCACCGCTGCACACGTGAGCTTCAGAGTCCCCTGCCTGCCTGCAGCCCAGGCTGCCTGCAGTGCCCATGTTGTCCATGAGAATTAAACACATCACGGGCGAACGGGTGCAGGGAAGGCAGGGCCGTTTCCACCTGGGCTTTCAACGTGCTGCTTCCCATCCCCGTCCTGCCTCCCGCTGAGCTTTCGTTAAGCCCCAATCGGAGAGGCGATGACAATTCAGCGGCTGCGCAGATGGGACGGGAAGTGGCCCCGTGGTGCCCAGGCGGCCTTGTTGCCGGGAGGGTGGGTAACTGCGTCCCGGTGACACGCAGCGCTGGCCACGGAGCCCAGGTGTCTGCAGGCGCTGCTCTTAGGTGTGCGGGCCCCTTGCTCCCCACTGAGACGGAGCCCAGCCACCTGAGGAGGGAGAACCTTCCGGAAGCCCGCAGGGCCCTGCAGGTGGGCTGTCATCACCTGGAAGCCACGCTGCTCTGCTGTCCTGGCTTCACTGATGGCCTCGCTGACGCCGAGCCGCCCGTGGCCGAGAGGGCGTTTCTCCTCCCTGGGGTACAGGGTGCATCTTCCTCCGTGTTCCCTGCGCAGGGAACTGTGAGATGGAGACGCGTGGCCTCCTCGGACGAGGGCTGGACAGCTTTGAGGACGTGAGGCAGCTGCCATCCGCATCCCTCCATGGCCCGAGCGTCGCGCAGTTGTTACTGTTCCCACGGCCGAGACGCATTAGAAACCAGCTGTTCTGTGCTTGTCGGCCATCTCCCTTCCCCGGGAGGCGTGGCAGCTCACGGGACCGTCAGCAGCTGTTTGCGTGTCCTCAAGTGCCGCTGGGAGGCGGAGGCCGGCCTCCTCCAGAGCAATGATGCGCTGTGGGTCAGGGGTGCGGGGCCCTGGGGGTGCGCTGCCCGTGCTGGTGGCTCCACGTGCAGGTAACACCTCCTCAGGGCTTCTCCCTAGACCGGGAGCCACCCAACCTCATCACTGCTTCTCGTCCGCCCATGACCCTCCCTCCTGTCTAATTGATAACCACCTGCCAGGAGCCGGGAAAGGATGTGATTAGGCTCCTTAGACGTCGGCCTGACATTGACTCGGCCTCCTCTCGGCCTGGGGAGGGAGGCCAGCGCACCCATTACTCTGGTAACGGCTCTGGCTTCAGCAGGTTTCCTTGTGTTTGTCTTGTTTACATTTTCCCACTTTTACTTACACAAGGACAGGGTTTTATTTCCCAAGCTGCCTACAGTGATGCCTCTCCAACCACATCCCCATGAGCAGGAGACTCCCCCTCCCCCTGTGGACTTGGGCTCCCCTCCCCCCATGGGCTTTGGCTCGCCTCCCTCCATGGGCTTGGGCTCCCCCTCCCCACGTGGATTTGGGCTCCCCTCCCCCCATGGGCTTGGGCTCCCCCTCCCCACGTGGATTTGGGCTCCCCTCCCCCCATGGGCTTGGGCTCCCCCTCCCCACGTGGATTTGGGCTCCCCTCCCCCCATGGGCTTGGGCTCCCCCTCCCCACGTGGATTTGGGCTCCCCTCCCCCCATGGGCTTGGGCTCCCCCTCCCCACGTGGATTTGGGCTCCCCTCCCCCCATGGGCTTGGGCTCCCCCTCCCCACGTGGATTTGGGCTCCCCTCCCCCCATGGGCTTGGGCTCCCCCTCCCCACGTGGATTTGGGCTCCCCTCCCCCCATGGGCTTGGGCTCCCCCTCCCCACGTGGATTTGGGCTCCCCTCCCCCCATGGGCTTGGGCTCCCCCTCCCCACGTGGATTTGGGCTCCCCTCCCCCCATGGGCTTGGGCTCCCCCTCCCCACGTGGATTTGGGCTCCCCTCCCCCCATGGGCTTGGGCTCCCCCTCCCCACGTGGATTTGGGCTCCCCTCCCCCCATGGGCTTGGGCTCCCCCTCCCCACGTGGATTTGGGCTCCCCTCCCCCCACCCCCTCCCCCCATGGACTTGGGCTCCCCTCCCCCATGGATTTGAGCTCCCCTCCCCCCATGGGTTTGAGCTCCCCCTCCCCCCGTGGACTTGGGCTGGCTGTGGTGACTTGGGTGTAATCAACAGAGCATGGCATTAGTGGTGCTGTGTGACCTGCGGGCGAGGCCCAAGGAGGCCCTGGCTGCCTTGGACCACTGCCCCGACGTGCTGTCCACCCTCAGAGCCCAGCCAGCATGGAGAGCAAGCCCCATGAGGGGTGTCCTCCCATTGAACTCGGTCTCTGATCTATCCCCATCCACCAGACAGAGATGTGAGTGAGGACGAGAAGGAAGAGTCAGGTTCAAGGTGGCGAAGGTCCTGAGTCACCTCCACCTGGGGTCCCGGGATAACTCGGTCTGTGGGGGATCTGGGTGGGGGGGGCTCCACCAGTGGGAGGACAGGCAGACACTCTGGCTGGGGGCAGACAACACACCTGGGCCACGGACCTGAAACCCACTGGCGGGCGGCCGCAGGCAGGGGCAGTAGAGGAATGTCTCGATGAGCTGGGAGACAAAGCCATGGAACTCCCCAGAGCAGCAAATGAAAATAAACTTTAAGAGACCTGAAGGGACCTGGGAGATGGCAAGTGGAACAACGTTCACATGTAAGGGTCCTGGAACCAGACAGCTTCCCTGGCGAATTCTACCGAAGAAGATCCCAATCCCTCAAACTCTCCCGCAACATCGAAGAGGAGAGCTCGCTCGCACATTTCATAAGGCCCACGTTATCCCGACTGCAAACCAGGCAAGGACGCAGAGAAGCAGAATTACAGGCCCATGTCCCTGGAGAATGCAGATGCAGAAATCCCCAACAAATCCAACAAGACGTGAACAGGCTCAGTCCCACACCGGCATCAGGTGGGACTCAGTCCTGGGAGACAAGGATGGTTCGACCCTCGCAGTCCATGCAACTTTACGAAAACACCAAGAACTCACTGATGAACACAGGGATGCTGCAGGATACAATGTTAACATTTGGAAATCTGTGGCATTTCTACACACAAATCATGAACCATTGGAAAGAGATCAAGAAAACAAACCCATGTATGATTGCATCTGAAAGAATAAAATACTTAGGACTACATTTAATCGAGGAGATGAGTGACCCGCACACTGAAAAAGTAGCTTCCAGAAGATTCCAGGGCCCAGACATTCAAGTCACATCCAGACATCCACGTCTTCCCAGTGGTGGCCCCAGGTATGATGAGCAGAGACAAGCTATCTCCATTCCCAGCCCACAGAATCCACGAGCCAATAACGTGGCCGTGGCCCCATGCTGGTAGGCTTGGAAATGGCCCCTCATGCAGCAACAGATTGTTGGACATTAGACATGATTCTCTCTGAGCAGGTTACCTCATTTAATGAATACAGAGTAAACCCAAAATCCGCCTGGCAGGCGTGGCTCGGTGGTTGAGTGTCAACCTAAGAACCAGGAGGTCAGGTTCAATTCCTGGTCAGGGCACATGCCCAGGTTGTGGGCTCGATCCCCAGTGTGGGGCATGTAGGAGGCAGCCGATCAATGATTCTCTTTCATCACTGATGTTTCTCTCTCTCTCCCTCTCACTTCCTCTCTGAAATCAATCCTATATAATAAAAGGCTAATATGCAAATTGACCAAACAGCCAAACGACTGTTCGCTATGATGCGCACTGACCACCAGGGGGCAGACGCTCAATGCAGGAGCTGCCCCCTGGTGGTCAGTGTGCTCCCACAGGGGGAGTGCTGCTCAGCCAGAAGCCCTGAGCCAGGCTCACGGCTGGCGAGTACAGCGGCGGTTGCGGGAGCCTTTCACACAGGATGTCTGACTTCTGGCCGTCAGTCGGACAACCCCCGAGGGCTCCCAGACTGTGAGAGGGTGCAGGCTGGCCTGAGGGACCCCCCTGAGTGCATGAATTTCATGCATCGGGCCTCTGAGGGACCCCCCTGAGTGCACGAATTTCATGCACTGGGCCTCTAGTAAAAATATAAAAAAAAGAAAAAAGAAATCTTCCCACTGTCATGGATCTCGTGATGCCATCGGGGTTTTGTTCCTGACCTGTAGACCCCGAAGGAGAGAGACTAACCTTTCACCTTTAAGCCTCCATTCCTGGGGATGGAAAAAGTGGATGTAACCAAACTTTTCCTGGGAAGAGCTCACAAAAAAGGCAGACACTCCGTGGATAACGAGGATGCTCCCCCGAGGGCTCTGGAGTCACACAATGAGGTGTAAAAACGTAGCTTGTGCTAATGGTGCAGGCTCATCTGCACCCCCACCCCGACCCCGGGATCACTTATGATGGCAACTGATGGGCGCACGGGCGAGCATGAGGCAGACTCACGTCAGTGCTTCTGAGTAGTTGTAACGCGGCGTCACTCCCAGAAACTTCTGGACGCCGTCCATCACAGCGGCCGGGTCGGACCTCAGCTGCTGTCCGTCAATAATCAGCAACTGCGAAGGCAAAAAATAGTCATTTAGTGAGGAACAAAACGAAATTAACTAGACTCAGCCGCCTCCCTGAACCTTGGATGACCTGAACCAGCGGTTAACCTGCACTACACGGAATGCATGTGCTATCAGTGTCTCCACTGGGTTAACCCGCACCACACGGATGCATGTACCATTGTGTCTCCAGTGGGTTAACCTGCTCTACACGGAATGCATGTACCATCTTGTCTCCAGGGGGTTAACCTGCTCTACACGGAATGTATGTGCTATCAGTGTCTCCAGCGGGTTAACCTGCACTACACGGAATGCATGTACATTCGTGTCTCCAGTGGGTTAACCTGCTCTACACGGAATGCATGTACATCCGTGTCTCCAGCAGGTTAACCTGTACCACACGGAATGCATGTACATTCGTGTCTCTAGATGGAACGCATAGTGATGTCTACTATGCGGCGTCTTCAAATGAACGATTAGTTTGCTGGAGGCACTATTTAGAGCCCTGAGGAACCTGACTTTACGTCAGAAGTAACCGCAGACCCTCTCTTGGTTCAGTGGCTCCGTGGGAACAGGGCTCTCCACGGGCTGTGTGCTCAGGTAACCCCCAGCCCACAAAGCCCCCTGAGCCTCCTGGAGCCCAGGGTGGAGAGCCTGGGGGTCCAGACGGAGATCACCCCATTTCTTTGCAGACCCTGGCGAGGATGAAGCTTCCTGCCGCGCCCAAGCGGGAATGAGGGGGTAAGCGGGGGGGATGCTGTCTTGCCATCCTCACTCCTGGCTCCGCCCACCTTCCCGGGCGTCTGAGCACTTCCCACGGCGGGTGACAGTCTACTTCCCAGCCGCGTCTTCCCTGTGAGGCCGAGGGGACAGACGGCACGCGGGTAAGTGCATGCGTGGCGTTCCGTGGGCGTGTGGTCCCGGATTCTCCGGTGTGAGGACCGGCCACTTTGGGACCGGCCACTGTCGGCAGGGAGACCCGAGAACGAGGTCCATGCCGCTAACCCCATGTGACCATCGTGACTGACATTAAACATGTCTGTGACTGTAAATCCTGCCTGTGGCCATGTCACCGCATTCTCCCGTGTGTAAGACGCCCCCATTAGAAGACGCCCCACTTTCCAACCCAAAATTAAGAAATTGATATTTTAAACATGTTGCTGGTTTTCCTCTAAGACAGTGGTTCTCAACCTTCTGGCCCTTTAAATACAGTTCCTCATGTTGTGACCCAACCATAAATTATTTTCGTTGCTACTTCATAACTGTCATGTTGCTACTGCTATGAATCGTCATGTAAATATCTGATATGCAGGATGGTCTTAGGCGACCCCTGTGAAAGGGTCCTTCGACCGCCAAAGGGGTCGCGACCCACAGGTTGAGAATCGCTGCTCTAAGGCTTCTTTTTTGGCATCTTAAGAGCTGTTCTTCCTGTTTTCCCCACTGTCTGATCCTACACTCAGTGGGAGGGTGTCCACATGGTCTCTCTGCAGCCCTGTTTCCATGCTCTTTTCAGAGCTGATGACATTCAGTTTGAATTTTGCAGAGTAAGACAATCGCTTACCGGTATTTATCTTTTTATTTTTTTACATCTTTATGGGCTCAGAACGCTCTGGTCCCTGTTGCAACTGCACACTCTCCACTTCCACCTCCCATTACAGCATCAGCTGACGTCAGTAACAATAAGGCTCATGATTGGAGGAAGCCAGTTTGACAAGGTATGGGCAGCTACGCACCCACACGGCTCCCTCCTCAGCTGACTTCCGTGTATAAGACGCCCCTCGATTTTCAGTCTCACGATTTTAGAAAAAAATAGCGTCTTATACACGGAAAAATATGGTAATTCCCATTTCCTTTTAAATATATGTTTATTGATTTCAGAGAGGAAGGTAGAGGGAGAGACAGATGGAAACATCAATGATGAGAGTGAATCATTGATCAGCTGCCTCCTGCACGCCCCCTACTGGGGACTGAGCCACAACCCGGGCCTGTGCCCTGACCAGGCAGCTGAACCATGACCTCCTGGTTCGTAGGTCGATGCTCAGTAACTG